TAAAACACATATACAATACAAATTATTGGGCCACCAATAATAATCCCATGCATCTCATAACTGGAATCGCAGTCCAAAATTCATCGTCCATGATTACCAATCCTTTAGTCATCAAAATTCGTTGCAACGGATTAACCGAATGCTTGTTTAAACATCCATGTCTTCAATCTATTCCGAAACACCATCAGCGAGGGGGCTGATCGTACCTCTATGGGGAGGGTGTTCCAAAGCCGAGGGGCCACCACAGAAAAGGCCCTGTCTCTCGTTCCCACCAGCCGCACTTGGGAAGCCGGTGGGATAGAGAGCAGGGACTCTCCAGAAGATCTAAGGGTCCTGGTGGGCTGATAGGCTGAGATACGTTCGGATAGATAAGTTGGGCCAGAACCGTTTAGGGCTTTAAAGGCCAACGCAGCACTTTGAATTGAGCCCGGTAGCAGATCGGCAGCCAGTGGAGCTGGTGCAGCAGAGGAGTTGTATGCTCCCTGCGCTCCGCTCCTGTTAGTATCATGGCTGCCGCCCGTTGGACTAATTGGAGCTTCCGGGCCGTCTTCAAAGGCAACCCCACGTAGAGAGCGTTGCAGTAATCAAGACGGGATGTAACCAGAGCGTGGACTACCGTGGCCAAGTCAGACTTCCCAAGGTACGGTCGCAGTTGGCGCACAAGTTTTACTGTGCGAATGCTCCCCTGGTCACCGCCGAAACCTGGGGTTCCAGGCTCAGCGATGAGTCCAGGATCACACCCAAACTGCGAACCTGCGTCTTCAGGGGGAGTGCGACCCCGTCTAACACAGGCTGTAACCCTATACCCTGTTCGGCCTTGCGACTAACCAGGAGTACCTCTGTCTTGTCTGGATTCAATTTCAATTTGTTCGCCCCCATCCAGACCATCACAGCGGCCAAGCACCGGTTCAGGACCTCGACAGCCTCCTTAGTAGCAGGTGGAAAGGAGTGACAGAGTTGGACATCATCTGCGTACAGATGACATCGCACTCCGAAACTCCGGATGATCTCGCCCAGCGGCTTCATGTAGATGTTAAACAACATGGGAGACAGTATTGAACCCTGAGGAACCCCACAAGACAAAGGTTGTGGGGTTGAACAGGAGTCTCCCAGTAACACCTTCTGAGACCGACCCTCGAGGAATGAGCGGAGCCACTGCAGAACAGTACCTCCAAGACCCATCCCCGCGAGGCGTCCCAGAAGGATACCGTGGTCGACGGTATCGAAGGCCGCTGAGAGGTCGAGCAGCACCAACAGGGACACACTCCCCCTGTCGAGCTCCCGACGCAGATCATCCACTCAGGCGACCAAGGCTGTCTCGGTACCATGCCCCGGCCTAAAGCCAGACTGTGCCGGATCCAGATAATCCGTGTCTACCAAGAATGCCTGGAGTTGTGAGGCCACCACACGTTCCATGACTCTGCCCAAAAAGGGGAGATTGGAAACAGGCCGATAGTTGACGAATTGAGTGGGGTCCAGTGATGGTTTCTTCAACAGCGGTTTTATCACAGCTTGCTTTAAGCTGGCTGGAATTTTGCCCTCCCGAAGGGAGGCATTAACCACCACCTTCACCCACTCGGCCAATCCCCCTCTGGCCTCCTTTAGAAGCCAGGATGGGCAGGGGTCTAGGATGCATGTGGTAGCTCTCATTCCTCCAAGCACCTTGTCCACATCCTCGGATTGAACCAATTGAAATGAATCCATCAAAACCGGACAAGCAGATGCTCGTGTTACATCCTCAGATACTGCCGTTAATATGGTATCCAGTCCAGAGCGGATCAAAGCGACTTTGTCTGCGAAGAACCGAGCAAAAGCTTCGCAGCGAGCTGCCGAGTCATCAGGGCACCCATCCTGAGTGGCGGGTTTTAATAGGCCTCTGACAACTCGGAACAGTTCAGCCGGACGGTTCTTTGCAGACGCAATAGTGGCCGCAAAGAAAGTCTTCTTTGCGGCTTTTATTGCCGCGGCATATGCCCTTAAAAAGGACACAAACCGTGTTCGATTTGGCTCGCTCGGATCCGAACGCCACACGCTCTCTAGTTCCCTCTTCTTTCGCTTCAACGCTGCCAGCTCCTCAGTGAACCAAGGAGCTGGTTTAGCTCGGCTACTTGAGAGGGGACGTTCTGGAGCGATCGTGTCTATTGCCCTAGTCATCTCCCCATTCCAGAGAGCGACCAGAGCATCAACAGGATCACCAACCGAGGTGGCGGGAAATTCCCCAAGAGCCATCAGGAATCCATCCGGATCCATAAGCCTCCTGGGGCGGACCAATTTAATGGGTCCTCCACCTCTGCGGAGGTTAGGGGGTGCAGTGAGTCTAAAGCTGACCAGGTGGTGGTCGGTCCATGGCAACGGAGAGATGGATAACTCCTCAACACCGCCACCTTCCTCCCATCCCTGACAGAAAACCAAGTCCAATGTATGTCCAGCACTGTGGGTGGGGCCAGATACCTGTTGGGACAGCCCCATGGTTGCCATGGTAGACATGAAGTCCTGAGCCGCTCCCGATAGGGCGGCCTCGGCATGGACATTGAAGTCCCCAGCACAAGCAGCCGTTGGGACTCCAACGCCAGGTCCGAGACCACCCCCGCTAGCTCAGTCAGGGAGTCTGTAGTGCAGCGAGGTGGGCGGTACACTAACAGAATCCCTAATCTGTCCTGGTCACCCACCCTCAGGTGGACGCATTCAAAATTTGTTGACTGCGGGATGGGGGCCCTGGTCAGAAGAATGGAATCTCTATAGACCACTGCAACTCCGCCTCCCCGCCCTCCGGATCTCGGTTGGTGCTGCACAGAGAAACCTGGTGGGCAAAGCTGGGTTAAATTTACACCTCCCGCTTCGTCCAACCAGGTCTCTGTGATGCACGCCAGATCTGCCCGTTCATCCAGGATTAAATCTTGGATGAAAGTTGTTTTACCGTTGACAGATCTGGCGTTCAACAGCACCACTTTCAATTCGGAGGGACCGCCATCCTGGTTACACCGACTTACCATATCAGGAGACCGACTTGGGATTACTAATGTTGTTCCACATTCCCTAGGCCGAATTAAAGGTCTCCTTTTCCCGTATCTCCCCCTCCCCACCACGACTTCTATGGGGGCTCCCCGGTTAACGGAACCCTCTCCCTCCTCCATGATGCATTCGGCAGCCAAACTATCTACCCATAATTCATTGTTGACTGTATGGTTTGTTATAGTTCCAGGATGCCATAGTCCTGCCTTCCGTTCATTTCCTACTCCTATTATGTTAAACTCCGGTCTTTCTAATCTACTCCGTTCCCCTTCTCTACCAAAAACAATTAGCAGCAAGATTAACAGATGCCAGGGAAAGGGTAGTGACATGGATGGTAGCTATTAACACTGTCAAAGGAGTTCTTAAAGTGCAGGAGTTAAAGTGCAGGAGTTCTTAGAATGCAGATAGATAATTGTATCAGCATACACGATGGTATAGATAATTAAAGTGCAATAGCTTGGTCAATTGGCTCTAAAGTGCTCAATTAAAGTGCGTCATGGAGGACTGAATTCAATGCTAGACGGTTGAGTCGATTAAAGTGCTAAGGCTCAGTAAAGCTAACAAATTACTGAGATAGTAAGTTAAGGTGCTGTTAGAGTAAAGTGCTAGAATCACACAGGATATTTGTCCACTATGCTTACTAACGGTGCAACAATTAGTTCTTAAATTCTCCGTTCAGTCAGCACAATGGTCAGCACAATCAAAGACGGTGGTCAGCACAGTCAGAAATGGACAGCACAATCAAGGGAGGTCAACACAGATGAAGATAGTCAGCACAATCAAAAGAGATGGTCCACACAATTAAAGGAGGTCAACACAGACGGATAACGATGGTCAATATAATCTGTCCAAAATTGGGAACCACGAGATGCCAGAGGATGGTAATAATCAGGCCAAAAGGTGGTCAACACAATCTTCCGGAGTTGATGGTTACCAAACGAGGTGATGGAATCTCGTGCGATGGCGGCAGATTAATCCCGGGAGGGCGAGGGGAGCTGGAGCGCTGGAGGCCGGCACATCAGAGGTCGGCGCGGTGGAAGAGCTCAACTGAGCGCTAGGCCGGACAGCTGGGCTGGAGCTGGGGCGCCGGGAGGAACGCGGAAGGACAACAGAAGACAAGCGCGCTAGAGGCCGGCGCACCGGCCGGCGCGATGGAAGGCTCCGCGATGGAAGGCTCCGTTGAACGCTAGGCCGGACGGTAGCAGCGGCCGCTGGGCCCAGCAGCCGCTGGGCTGGAGCTGGAGCTGGAGCGCCGGGGGGCAATTGCGTCTGGAGGCGCTGAGGATCACAGGATCACAGGGCGCTAGAGCGCCGGAATAGCAGGCTGTCAGCTGGAAACAGCGGGGCGTCAGCTGGAAACGGGCCGAATAGCAAGCTCGCATCGGCGACAATGGCGGCCCCGGCAGCCCCCGACTGCAGCACAGGCCGCACAAGCACTGCAGGCCCCTCAGGCATCCACCAGAGCCAGCAGCGACGGGGCGGCAGCCAGGCAAGGCCGCAAAGCAAGGCCGCAAAGCAAGGCCGCGAAGCAGGCCGCCAGGCGGGGTCGCGAAGCAGCCCACTGGGTTGTCCGTCAAGCCGTCGCTCAGTGGTATGGCGGTGGACCGGCGCTCCAATCCAAGCCAAGTAAGAATGGAGAGAGCAGGATAGCACCGGTCCCCCTCTCAAGCGGCCACAATCCCGTCGGCAGCGTCGGCAGCGTCCAAAAGAGCCAATAATGGCGGCAATAGAGCCAATATTGGCAATAGAGCCAATAATGGCGGCCACCCAGTCGCTCTACCTCCCTTCTTCTCCAAACCTCATTCAGCTCTTCCTTCGTCAATGCTCCTCCAGTTTGACTCCCCAAGGCCACCTCCGTGACCCTAGTTTGTCAATGGTAAAGGAGCAGGTTTCAAGGGCTCCGGGTGGCAAGGTTTGGCTTGATTAAGTCCGATTTTAAGTTCTTTCCCTACCGGAGCAGAGGAGTAAAGCAATAGAGTAAAATTGTTGGTCATTGTGGAGGCTGGAATTCTGTTCTGACCACACAATGGTCCAAATTTCCTTCTCAACCCACCTTGTAAGCAACATAGCACATCTCAGTGTTTCATTTCAACATTATAAGTGAATAGCAGATGGGGATCAGTGGAAATGCAATTAGTTTTTGTTTTCATTTAGTTGGCTGCATTGCAAGGACATCACCAGCAGCGATCATCCAAAGAACCTTGTAGGGTTCTGTAGATGTCTATCATGATGCATTCAGTTTACAGCAATGGTTCTCAACCTGTGAGTCCCCAGGTGTTTTGGCCTACAACTCCCAGAAATCCCAGTCAGTTTACCAGTTGTTCGGATTTCTGGGAGTTGAAGACCAAAGCACCTGGGGATCCCAGGTTGAGAACCACTGAGTTACAGGAACATAACGGATGTTACCACTAACTCCACTACTCTTGATAATACATAAATGGCTATTTTGGGGGAACTGTGCTGTTTACAAGCTGCCCTTTGGAGTGGTAGCATTGTGAATGATAACTGGCAAATAGAGGGAGAAAACATGGAGGCAGACTTTGTATTTTCAGGTACAGACATTACTGCAGACACAGACTGCAGCCAGAAATCAGAAGATGTTTACTTCTTGGGAGGAAAGCAATGACCAATCTCGATAAAATAGTGAAGAGTAGAGACATCATATTGGCAACGAAGCTCCGCATAGTCAAAGCAATGGCATTCCCAGTAGTAACCTATGGACATGAGAGCTGGACCATAAGGAAAGCTGAGCGAAGGAAGATAGATGCTTTTGAACTGTGGTGCTGGAGGAAAATTCTGAGAGTGCCTTGGATTGTGAGAAGATCCAACCAGCCCATACTTCAGGAAATAAAGCCAGACTTCTCATTGGAGGGAAGGATATTAGAGGCAAAGATGAAGTACTTTAGCCACATCATGAGAAGAAAGGTAAAATGGAAGGAAAAAGAAAGAGGGGCTGACCAAGGGCAAGATGAATGGATGGTATCCTTGAAATAACTGGCTTGACTCTGAAGGAGCTGGGGATGGTGACGGCTGATAGGAAGCTCCGGTGTGAGCAGGTCCATGAAGTCACGAAGAGTCGGAAGCAACTGAATGAATAAACAACAAGCACTTAAATGTATCTCTGGGGTTCAAATATAGCACTATAATTCCACTTCAGATACCATGGCTGCTTCCTCAAGAACCATGGTATTTATATTCTGATAAAGTACTACAGTGCTCTGGCTGAGAATTTGGAATCCTGCCTCCCAGGATATCCACAGTCATTACAGTTAAAGTGGAAGCATAGTATATAGTAACAGTGCAAAGACTTCTTAAGAGACTCACCATACTTTGTCTTAAAATGGGGATGGGGTGGGGTTGCAGCGTTGCACCAAATAGAGACAGCCTAGATCTCAAAGAAAAGTGCCTTGATGAGTCCCAAAGCAATCAGGAATTTTCTCAGTTGGATTTTATGGACTTAGTCCTCAGTCATAGAATCAGACAATTGCAGAGTTTGAAGGATCTCCCATAGGTCATTGAGTTCAATTTTCCCATTACCTCTCTGTGTAATTGGTGCCAAGAAGAAATGGAGTCACTACTGCACCAATTCTTCTACCGATCACCTTAAACAATATCTTAAGCTTTCATCTCAAATAGATGCAGATATTAACACTCTTGCCCGATAAAGAAGCCAGTGAGCCTTGAAACCTTGTATGGTGTAATATAACTCAGTGAGCCTAATAAAGGTTATTATTGTGATATGTATTTTGAATGTTGCTTCATTAGAGAGTCTGGTCTAATTTTTTCCTAACTGCTTTCTGAAATGCAAGTGAAGTCCCAGAGTAAGCTGTGGGGGAAACGAAAAGCAGCGAAGTCAAACCGAAAAAAATGGCAAAGCTGTTTCTTCTGTGCAAGAGTGAGTTCTTTGAACATTTGATCTTCCAACCAGCTGTAGGTCCACCGAATTTTTGAGTCTATGAATTCAGGAACCTGGATGCTTTCTGGAACCCCTGCCCGGAGGATTAAATGACGTACTTCACTGCCAAGCAACCCAAATATCACTATGTAGTCATATAGGATGATGCATGGATGGCACAGGTTAACTAATGGTGTCCATTCAACACTGGTATTCTTGGATCCACCCTCTAAGATGTACTGAATAAACTCCTGAAAGGTTAAACCTTCTGCTAAGCCATGCATGTAAGCATAAATGAGTCTCTGGAAGGGCTCCCTGATAAAAATAACTTTTGTGTAGGATTTCATCATGGCCTTCATTGATGTCACATTGTAATCACTCAGCATCTTAGAGGTTCCAAATTGTTGCTGGTAGGGGACTGGCATAGGCGGTGTAACATCTTCTCTCTCCACCAGCATCTCCAATAGCTTCTCCCAATCTTCCACCCCAGTGCCTGGTATTTTGCAATACAGGAAATTCAGTTTGTTATTCACTATAATGGAAGATAGTGTCTGGGAAGCCTTTTGCTGGGTATGAGGAAGTTGGTTGGTTTTGCCATGTTTATTGCAGAAGGACCTCAGTGTCTTTTTCCTGAGCTGCTGAACATGCAAAAAAGTGTCAAATGTCAGTGCTGAGTTTGCTCTTTCCTCCTTCATACTCAGGTTATCTGGAAAACATAATATGGAGCATGGAGTTAATCCATGCAAATGACTTGTAAAAAATGTTATTCCTCCAGCTGGGAAGTCAGCATCAATATTATCCATTTATATTATTAGTTTTTGGTTTCAGTAAATATTACTTAGTGATATCAATTACTAACAAATGATAAACTATTGATGTTGCTAGATGTGCTGCTTTTCAAAAAATAAAATAAAAAAAAAGACTAAAAAGTTTTTGTACAATGCATATGAAAAATGTGAAGGAAAAAAAGTGGTAAATCTAAGAAATTCTATTAATGGTGTTTGCTTGTTATTTGTTTCCTGGTCAGCTAAAGTAGAACTCTATATTAAGGAGTTACAATCTGTCATCACAGTTAACAGAATAGTGTAATAGAAAAATAATATACAATATAATTTAACTTTTGGCTAAAAGGAATTACTTTTATAGTTAAGCAGAATGTGGTGAATTTAGCTCTAGACAGAAGAGTGAAAAACACCTGTCCATTATCTTATGTAACACTCTAATATATGTTAGAAAGGTTTCCACAACACAATGAGACACCCACTGCACTTATGCAGAGGCAACCTGAGCACAAGTGGCATGATATTATCACTGCACTACACTGCTGGTAGACATCTACTGAGGAGGACCTTCTCTCTGTCCCACCACCCGCTCCAGTGCACTTGGTGGGAACATGGAGAGAGGGCCTTTTTGGTTGCTGCTCCCAGACTGTGGAAATCTCTCTCAAGGAAAACCAGGATGGCACCATCCCTGCTGGTCTTCTGCAAGCAGGTCAAGACCTTCTTCTACGAGCAGGCATTTGGTGAAGAATAAGGGGAATGCTGCTGGAGAAGTTTGTGTGTGTGTGAGTTTTAAAGGCGATTTTAAGTGTATTTATTATATGTATTATTTAATTGTTGTTTTAATCTTTTTATTATGCTTTTAAAACTATGACTAAATTGTGGGATTGTTACCCCCCATGGGTCCCCACACGGAAAAAGGCGGGGTATAAATAAAGTTAATAATAATAATAATAATAATAATAATAATAATAATAATAATACATCATGCACATGTTTTGTATTACCTGCCATGTAATGTGCCACTCCAGATAAATCATAAGAGATAAATGAATCTAATGGAAGTCTTTTCCTTCCCTAAGTCCTTTGTTGCATTGCAAGTCCCAACTGCTTTAGTCATCACACCAGCAGTAAAGAAATTTGGCTACCTGATGCCTACTGTTTGAAGATGAGAATACTACATTGCATGAATTCATCTGGAATTACTTTCCATATTGCAACCAGAATATTATTTGTGACATGCATATGTTTAAGTGTGCCTTATCATGTATGCCTCTTTTGGGGTTAAAGGTGCTATCCTGTAGACTTTTGTGCAATGCCCCAAACCTCCTACCTGTAGCTGTCAAACCCTATGGAGATAGCTATTGATTGGCAATGGGAGGGAAGGGAGCAGGGAAGTAATTCAGATGATGTAGTTTTGAAGGGATGGGATAGGAGTGTGTATACAATCTATGAGCACACTCCTATTTCCCTCCTGCTGAGCCAAGTTGAACCAGTTCTCGACTGTCTGATAAACAGCAGCAGAAGTCCTTTCCAGAGTATAGTAACTGTTGGGAGGGGATTGGGTGAGGTGCAAAAAATTAAATATAGTTCTTTGTTCCTTGTTCAAAAGAATATAGTTCTTTGTTCCCTGTCCAAAAGAACTGGATGAGCATTGTGCTCTACTTGCTTAAGATAATTCTGTTGACTGGGGCATGGGGGGGGGGATGGGACGGGATGACAGTCCTACCTTGGATCAGTGGTGTGCGTCTCCAGAGAAACCACAGGAGAGAAATGCACCCAAAGGAAAGTAAAATGAAAACTCGGATGAGGAAGCGCATTGTCTTGTTTGGCTGATCAATGTGAACACTACCAATGAAAGGACTCAAAGTAACCTAAGACAATGTCAACAAAAGTACCACTGCATATTTACTTTGGGAAGATACAAATGTCAGGGCTGAAGGTTAAAGTACTGTTTATACAGGCATGAGCTGTGCTGGCTGAAATAACTATGACCAGCACTCAGATAAACCCAAGAATAACTAGATCTCAGATCATAGCTTCATGTATGAATGGAGTCATGGACATTAGAAACAGGTTTATCATCTTTGCATAATATTGTGATGGCTTACCAGAATACAGAACAGTTACGTCTTGGACTAAAGCTGTTAGAATCCTCCAGTTAGGATGACAGCACTGATTGGAGTTTCAAGGTACTCTATATCAAAAGAAGTATCTTGCCTAAACTTGTATTGTCACTGTGTAGTGAACATCTGTGAGTTGTTCCTTTCATTGTCATGTTTCCACCAGAGGGTGCCATATTCATGAAAAATGATAGCAAATTCCTATGTGTGTATAGCAGGAATACAGGAAAGTGACAGGTAATGGGGAATAAATAAATCAAACATGTGTTTGAATTACAGAGGTGTAACTGATCTATATTTAAAAACACTATGTATACTCCTGAATTGTAGTTACTGCTGTGGCACTATTACCACATTAATGACTGCCTTGCTAAACCCACTTTAAGGTACTTGCCAAATTGGGTGAAGATAGTTTGTTGAACTCTTGATCAGGACGCAGGGCACATTTCCACCCACTTCCCACAATCAAAAGCAGGAGCCTGGTTACAAGTCTCACTGGCTGGAAGGACGGGAGTAAAACATAATTGTCTTCACACCCTGGTTGCAAACTGAGTGGGTCTCCGTTGCCTGGTCTGTCAGGTATTTCGTAAAATAGGCTTGGGAAGGTCAGACCGAAAGGTGCTAGTTAGTTGTATATAGGTAGAATGAGTGAGGTAGAAAGCCAATTATTGTCTGCAGTAGCAGTGCTGGGACCTTGTTGATTTCACTCATGAAGTTAGTCCTATGTATATTACCATATTGGTTATGATTTTATGCAACCTTTTGATTTTTGCAAGCTTTATTTGAATTGAGTGTTGCTTTTTACATGTGCTGCAGAAATGTTGTTGTAGAGAAGTGTTTATTATAAAGGTTTATTGTACTGTGTTTAAACTGTATTTATGTTTTACATGCGTGGCCATGGCCTAGCTGTGAGAGATAGGTTGCCATGGTGACAAGGCAGAAGAGAAGGTGGGCGGAGCTTAAGGAGAAAAAGGTTTGAAAGTAACAGTTAATAGTCAGTCAGGAGGATGAGACCCTGAGAAGAGGAGCGGAGTCAGTTAGGGCTCTGTGTGGTGAAGCAGTATAAATTCAGTTAGTTCTTAGCATTTGTGAATATTTCTTCAGCAAGGGAGCTGAAGGTGAAACCTTGTTAGATTGCTTGTGTTAAAAAGAATCTAACAAAGGGGATTTTAGGGATCCCAGTAGTGAAAGACTGGAGATCGGTGGTTTGATCCGGTATAGGACAGAGTGAATATTCACAACAGGGAACACTGAAATAATAAAGTACTTCACTGAAGAAGGAGTTTAAAGGATTGTAACATCAGAAGCCTGAATGTATCTATACCA